AGAGCCGACAGATGAGGAATGAGGCAGCAAGAGATGAGGCAGCAAGAGATGAGGCAGGGGACGGGGGCTGTGGGTCAAGGGAAGGATCAGGACATGACTCTGGAGGACTTGAAGCAAGGAAGGCCAGATCTGCATCTGGGAGTCCCACTGTGAGGTGGTAGGTGGTCGTGCAGGAAAGAGAAGTGACAGGGAGGAGAGAATCCTTAGGACACGGAGATGGAATGGGGGTGACACATGACTAAGAAGGTGGTCAAAGCTCAGGACAATGGACAGACAGGGCCAATTATGTCCCATTGGGAGCCCTCAGTCCACAACTGGTTCATAACAAGGGGAGGAGGTGGCGCAGCGGGACTAAGCCCTTGCGACAGGGGGTGCTCAGACAGACCAACGGGCCCAAGGGGCGGAGCTCTGAGGAAAGCCCCAGTTAAGGGGACTAAGGGTGTTGACAGGGGAGGAGCCAGTGAAGGAGACAAACAGCAGCCAAGGTGGTCGGGCTGTGCTCCCACGCAGGCCAACCAAGAAAGTGTTTCAAGAAGCCTGGAATGAAGATTTTCTTGTCGAAAATTAGAACAAATTTCCACCTGATTCTAATCAAGCCTGGAGATCTCCCTCCCATGGGGCCCATGAGAAATAGAGGATCAAGTTAAATAATACCGTGAGGATACCACATCCAAACATGGAAAAGTCTTCAGGACAAATGGCTCAGCTTCTTCAACAAATTCATGACATTTTAAAAAGGAGAGCAACTGCTGGACTGTTACTGATTAAAAGAGATTGAGGAGACATGCAAAAGGCCAAATGCAGTGTGTAGCCTTTGCCTGGACCCTGACAGGAACAAACCAACATTTTGAGACAATCAGAGAAAATTAAACGCAGACTAGACATTAGAGATTTTAAAGGAATTGTAGTTCATTTTGTTAGGACTCGTAATGGAATTACAAGTATGTAAAAAAAATCCTTATCAGCTAGCGATAAATACTAAACTATGGATCGAGTGATAGTATCTGAAATATGTTTTTAAATATTCCAGCCAATGAAAAAGCAAGAACAGCTGTGGGCTAACCCATGAAACGAGAATGGAAAAACGTTGGTAGCTTTGGAGCTGAGGAATGGGTACACAGGTTTACTATGTCGTTTTTCCTGCTTTTGTGTGTGTTTCAAATGTGCCTTCTCTCTGTCTCTCTTTTTGTATTTGCCAGAGGACGTGCGCACTCACTAGAGAGACAGAGGGAGAAGGGAAAAGCTCACCACAATCCCCTCCATTTCGCCCTCCTTTGGGAATTTTGGACACATACACACATGCCCAGCGTGTTTCTCAAGCCATGCAGTCAGCCATGTGAGATCTGGCTCCCTTAACCACCGGGAAAGGAGGCTAGTCTTTGACATTTTCATAACAAGTTCAATTTTAAAAAGGAGAGGGCCAGCCTGTGGCATGGTGGTTAAGGTGGCTAGATCTCACATGACCATCTGCGTGGTTCCAGTCTAGGACTCCGCGGCTTTAGAAACATTCCAGGTGTGTACATGTGCGTGCCCAAAATCCCAATAGGGAGAATGGAAAAGAAAGGATTGCAGCATGTCCATGCCCACTGTGGGGTGCTTTCCCACTAAAAAAAAGGGGGGGAGGCGAAGAAGAAGAAAAGAGGAGAAAGGAGAAGGAAGGGGGAGGAGGAGAGGAGGAAGTAGTTAGTTGTGGCAATGCTGCTGGAAAGGTAAGGTGAGTAGCGGGGGCGAGCCTGGGAAGCAGCACCAGCTGTGTAGCTGTGGACACCTGATGAACAAAGGACCTTGGGGAGGGCTCATTGACCTTGGACACTGGGTTGACCTGCTTTGCCTCCCCAGGTCTCAGCGTCTCCATCTGCTCAATGGCTCCCCCAGCTCCCACCAGTGACAATAACAATAGAGGCTTCTGAAGGAAGAGAGGCAAGGAGGGAAAGCCAGTCTGGAAGGGATAAATGTGGAAAAAGAGGGGATAGAGGTCACCCATGGCAGAAAACACAAAAATTGGGGCATGAAAAGGCTGGAAGAAGTAGAGTGAGGAAGGATTTTTGCTTTTCAAATGAGAGAGACTTGAGCACTCTTAACTGCTGACAGGAAGGCTCTTGTAGAGGGAGAGGGTGAAAAGATAGAGGAGGGAAGAAAAAAACTATAATAGAGGCTCCCGAAAGTTTGTCACCAGGTTTGGGAGTACAGCCCAGTGAAAGAGGTGGAGGCACCCTAGCTGGGTTTTCTGGGAGATTTAATATAATATATATCGTTTTTTCTGCTTTTGTGTGTGTTTGAAAATTGCCTTCTCTCTGTCATGGTGCAGGAGCGGAATAAAGGCTATGAAGTCATGGAGGCTGTGGAGGGTGGGGGAGGGTCTGAGAACTAAGCCACCCTTGGCCTCCCTGAGGCCTAAAGCCCCCACATTAGATCTACGTCCAGGCCAAGGGTCTGCTCTGTTCCCCTGAGCCTTGTGAATTACGCAGGGGCTATGCCTCCTGCTGCACATCCCAGAGACTTGCCGTGAGTGCCCGGAGGCCCCCTGAGTGGGAGTGCCAAAGGCAGGTGCACACCAGGGTGGTAGGACCTGCCCAGGATGTGCTGGTAACCTTCCCCAGTCCCACCTGTCCCCGGACCCTTTCAGGGCTCCTGTCTGGCTAGCTCCCTTTGCACCTAGCCCAAAGGCCAAGGCCTGTGCTTGGGGGCATTGGCTCCTTCCGCTGGTCCCAATAGGGTTTGACACTCCTTCCTGAGCTCCAGGTCTCACATACCCCAGGGGCTCCTCCCTCCTTGGCCCCATTAAATGAGCCACCAGCTCCTGCCAGCTGCTCTGTCCTCACTACCATCCATCTTGACCCCATAACCACCCCCCATATCCCGCTCCCCAGCCCTGAGGGGCCACCCGCCACCACTCTCCCTGAGAACAACAGCCCTCACCCAGGCTGCCCAGAAAAGAAACAGATTTAGGGCAAGGCCAGGAATGAGGACGGTGGCAGGAGGAGGCATCCTTGGAGGACTGTGGAGGGCCCCCAGCACCAGGAACCCCTGAACGAAGACACATATACCCTTCAGGCTAAGGAAGACACCGGGTACAGGGAACAAAACTCACTTCTTGCCCAGCTGCCGGGCCACATCACAACGCTGGAAGCCCTCAAGGTGGTAGAGGCGGCGGGCCAGCCGGCGAGCAGCCTCACTGACCCCCTGGCACCCGTTGGCCAGCGGGTCTGTGCTCCCGGGATCCAGTCCTTCTGAGCTGCTCAGCTCTGAGTCTGAGTCCGAGAAGCCGTCCTTCAGGCTGGGGTCACTGCCAACGGAGAGGAGGGGGATCAGAGGCCCTGGGTAAGGCCGGAAGCCTCCCACATCCAGGGAGTCAGGCTGTGGTACGGGTGCCCTGGGGCAGGCCTCCGAAGCCCGCTCAGAGGTCAGGTCAGAGAGGACGTGCCACTACAGCAGGAGGGAATCAAGGCAGACTTTCAAAAGCGCCTCTCGAGGGACATCATTAGATGCTGCACACACCCACAACACAGCTCCCTGAGCCCTCCGAGCTGCCACCTGTTAGTGCAGAGTGAAACGGCAGGTGGGGGTGGGAAGTCTGGTGAGCTCAGGGACAAGGGACCTTGGACAGGCTCCCTGACTGGACACTGAGTTGCCCTCCTTGCCCCCCCCTCCCACCCCCCAGGTCTTGCTATCTCCATCTTCTCAGTAGCTCTCCCAGTCCCAGCCCGGGTCCTGACTCACCTGGCTGAGTTCAGCAGCTTGTCTGTATCCTCCTCCTCCTCTTCCTCTTCTTCCCCGCCTGGGCCCTGGGGCCCATCTTCATGGAATCCGTTGGGCATGGCCGTGAGGGACAGGCGACTCAGAACGTTCTCTGAGTGGCTGCTGGAGATGGAGCGCCGCAGGGGGCTTCCCAGCTCACCATCGCCACCAGCTGCCCCCACATCCCTCTCACAGCCGATCTCCCCAAGGCCCAGCTCAGCCCCTGGCTCGGGGCTGTCACGGGCCCGCTGCTGGATGAGGGGCGTGAGGGGGGCCTCGAAGCTGACGCAGCTGTCGCTCTCGTCTGTGAGGCTCAGCACATCCAGGGAGTCCAGGCTGCTGTACTGGGTGCCCCGCAGCAGCTCCGACTCCAGAATCTTCTCAAATGTGGCGCTGAAGCCATCTCGTACATCTGGTTCCCCAGAGCCACCCAGCCTGTGAGACAGCAAGGACTCAGTCACTGTCCCGCCAGGGCGTCCCACACACAGGTGCTGGCACCTGCCCCGGTCTGCGTCTGAGAGCTCCCTGCAGGCAGGGAGCAGGTGCAGATTGCGTCCTGCTCATTTATTCCTTGAGCCAAAACCTGTCAGCAATAGGTGCCATGTGGTGGGTACTGGAGACACAGCAGTGAAAAAGACGATGCGGTCCCCATGCCCCGTGTACAACCCAGGGCCCGGCCCACAGTCGGCACCAATGTTTGTCTAACGAGTGAACGTGGCACTGCTCCCTCAGGGCTCCCAAAGCACTGCGGGCATCTCCCTGTCACAACTGGTGTCACACTGGGTCATCATTCTGCTGTCCCCACAGCCTGGGAGATTCTTGCTCACCAATCACATTCCAGCTCTCAGGTCTGGCCTGAATGTCACCTCCTCAGAGGAACTGAGGGAGGCAGGTCCATGCGAGGCATCCTCCTCGCTATTCTCTAGCCTCAGAGCATCTCTTCATTTCCAGAATTGCCCTTATCAGCACATAAGACTCTGACTGTTCTGTGCCCCACACCACCTCCCACCCAAGCCAAAGCTCCACCAGGCCAGGAGCGCCCAGCACACAGTAGCTACCAGTAAATCTTGCTAAATGATGCACCGAGCAAAGGGACATGCTCATCAGTCCCGGAGCTACTCCCCAGGGGCTTCCCCCGGCCTAGGCACCTGTTGCTTCCTCTGCCCGAGTCTCTGCCCCCAGGCTAAAGCCCTCCTTCCTCACCACTTCTCAGTGAGGTCTGCCCCGAACACCCTATCTACTCCTGTGACTTGCCCCCACACATCCAGCCCCTTTGTCCTACTATATATATTTTTTCAAAGCATTTATTCTCTTCCAACACACTATGTAATTAGTTGTTATTTTATTGTTTCTTGCTGTCTCCCCACTGGACCATCATCTCCACGAGAGCAGAGCTTGTGTAAGTTTCGCTCATCGCTGTCTCTCCAGCACCTGGAATACAGCATCACATACAGAGGAGCTGAGGCTTCTGGGAAGAGCCGCATCCACTGGGGAGATGCACAGGTGCACAGGGAAGGCGGAGGGAGACAGAGTGAGCCAGACCAAGAGAGCGACAAGGAAGAGACAACGCGGAGTTGGGAGCATGATGAGAAAGAGAGAAAAGACATTCAGAGAGCACAACAGAGATAGACAGTAATAGAGATAAGGGGAGAGCAAGAGAGACAGAGATAGAGGCAGAAACAGAGACCACAAGAGGGAGAGACAGAGAAAGAATGAAGCTGGCAGATAAATCAAGGCCCATCATTTGCAAAGACACACGTCTCTCCCTCCCCATCAGCCTCCCCTGAGGGTCTGGTTCTCTCTGGGTTCCTCCCCACACACACCCCTGCTGGCTGGCAATGACTGAGCTGTATTTGGAGGACTAGGAGGTGCCCCTTCCACCCAAAAAACCTCCTCAGACGCCCCCCAACTTGCCGTGCCTAAGAGTCAGCCCAGGGTGCTTCCCAGAGAAAAGGGCTGACCTGGGAGAAAATCTGAAGCCACGGCCACCTCCCACCCCGGCCCCAGCAGGAACTGAGAACGCAGCCTCGTCAGGCCTCCTCCTGCTGGAGAACGAAGTGGAGAAGAAACCAGAAATCTGAAAAGTTGTGGGGTGCCTGGCAAGGGCAGAGGTGGAAGCTGCTTCTTCTGACCTCCTCGCAAAGGGGAGAAGAGGGAAGGGCTGCTGGCCTAGCCACCAGGGCAATATCCAGAGTCTGCCCAGGGAAGCCACCTCTGCCAAGTCTGTGCTGGGTACTAGGCAAACCCACACCAGGGCCCTGCCCTGGCAGCTCTCAGTCCATCCTCCCATGCCATGGTATGCCTACCTTCCGCCCCATCAAGCAACTAAGCAGACCTGAGCGTGGCCCTGATGGGCGCCTGAAGACCGTCAGTCAGTCCAGTCTCCAGACTTCCATCTGCCCCACCATCAGCCGTCCCAAATATTATAAATATGCTACCTAAACACAAACAGTGTGTCCAAGATGTCCCGGGCCCCTGCCCCACCCCGCTGCCAGCTAGGTGTCCATGCTAGGCCCCACCTGGATTGAACTTCAAGGCCTGGTACCCATAAGCACGCAGCCTGAGGTACTCACAGAGACTTTGAGACACTAATCTCTACACACGCACACACAAGCCCAAATGTGCACCATAAATGCACAGGTCAGGCACACGCCAACACCCCCGACCACAGTCACACAGCCCCATGCACTCCAATATGCTCACACGTCTCTGGGCACACACCAGGCACATACAAGCTTGCACACTCACACACCTCCCACACACTTGCTTATTCAAGCCAAGCCTGCGGCTATGCACACTGGGACCTCTATAATACTTCTTCTCTCAGCCTACCCTGGGGTCTTCTAAATACCCCTGATCCATGCCCACCCTCCTTGTCCAACCAGCACCCTCAAGCATCCAGATCTCCCCACCTCTTGCTGAGGATAATAGAAATGGGACTGAAACTCCAGGACGTAGGAGTAAAGTGAGATTCCTGGTTGAACCTCCAGATGGAACCTCAGATGAGGGGAGCAGAGAAGGATTCACTCACAAAGCCTGCTTTCCTGGGGTAGGCTGCAGGATTGAGAGATCTTCGTCTCCAGGAAATGGAGAGGTGAAGCAGATGACCTTTCACGTGAAAGCATTTTAAGAGAAACTGGAGGCCAGCAGGTGACATGAAGGTTAAGGCAGCTGGATCCAACATGGCCAACTGCATGGTTCAAGTCCCAGACCTGTTGGCCTGAGAAACACCCGGGCATGTGTGCATGTTTGCCTGAAGTCCCAAGAGGAAAATGAAGAAGGGATAGCAAAGTGGCCACCCCCACTCTCAGGGGGTGATCTCTCTCTCTCTCTCCAGATGGAACCTCAGATGAGGGGAGCAGAGAAGGATTCACTCACAAAGCCTGCTTTCCTGGGGTAGGCTGCAGGATTGAGAGATCTTCGTCTCCAGGAAATGGAGAGGTGAAGCAGATGACCTTTCACGTGAAAGCATTTTAAGAGAAACTGGAGGCCAGCAGGTGACATGAAGGTTAAGGCAGCTGGATCCAACATGGCCAACTGCATGGTTCAAGTCCCAGACCTGTTGGCCTGAGAAACACCCGGGCATGTGTGCATGTTTGCCTGAAGTCCCAAGAGGAAAATGAAGAAGGGATAGCAAAGTGGCCACCCCCACTCTCAGGGGGTGATGTCTCTCTCTCTCTCTCTCTCTCTCTCTCTCTCCAGTAAATGCATGTGCCCTATTGCAAACTAAAAAACAAAACGCTTGGACTGCACTATCCATCCTGGGATGGAGGGAGTGTAGCCCTCCCTCCCCACTACTAGAAATAGCTCACAATGACTTGGGGGCTGGACGTTTGGAGGCACGACAGTCATGCGGGCCTTTGATTCCCTCTCATGGCACTATCCTTTGAGAGCAAAATAGGAACAGGAAGTCCCCATTTCATACATGAAAAGGAGAGCACTCAGTGGCTAGGCCCAGGCCACAAGCAATGGAGCTGCCAAACGCAGTTAACTTCCACCACAAGACACCCACTTACCCCAGCTGAAGGTCCTCGGTGTCTGGACAAAGGCTCCCAGAGGCATCGTCCCCCTCTGCTAGCCCATCAGCCCTCCAGGGCCTGGACTCTGTTGAATTTTCCAGAATGCTCAAGTCTGGTCCCAGAGCTAGGCCATTGGTGAGGGGAAGGCCAAGGCTGAGGCCATGCAGGGCCACACCCGGGTCCTTCCTGGGTTCCTCATTGTCCACCAGGGCAGCCCTTTCCTCATGCCCTGGGCTGTCACAGCTGCTGTCCAGGCCCTCACTTGCTGTCATTCCATTCTGGACCCCGGGTTCCTCCTCGGGCTCCAGGCTGGGGTCCTGGGGGGCACCGCCTTCCTCAGACAGGGCAGGTGGGAACTTGTCCTCGTCCATGGCAGCCTCTGCTTCCACCCTGTCCTGGCTGCTCCTGGGACTCCACTGAACCTGGCAGCAGACGGAGAGACAAAGGGACCAGTTAGACAGGGCAGCCTCCCGGGGGCAGGAGGATGGCTGAGATGCTCAGGACCCTCCCGCTGGACTCTGGGTTCAGGTGGTGGCCCCCTCGCTGCCCTGCCCAGACCAGCCACCTCAACTTTCCCTGGCCAGTTCCTGCCTTCCCTGTCACCTCTCATGTTTCTATTGTGCCCTCCCAGGCATGTGCCAAAGCCCTCCGAAAAAGACCCAGGTTGGGGGGAACTGGAGAAGGGCCCAGGCCCCCCTCCAGGCCTCATTCCATCCCTGCTGGTGAGGCATGAAGGCAAACTCCAGGCCATCAGCAGCCAGCCCACTGGCTTCATCTTGTTCTCTGGTCTTGGTGCCAAGAGCCAGAGATGAGTGAGGAACCAGGTTCAGGGCTGCTTTCAGAAGGGGACTTAGGGGAGGAGGCAAGGAAGGCAACAGAAGTGCAGCTGCATCTGAGCAGGGGCCACCCCAGAGAAGCCAAGGCTAAGCCTGAGTCAGCCACGAGAAGGCCCAGCATGAGGCGCTGTCCAGGGTGCTGGGCGGGGCAGCGCCACCTGAGAGCCGCACAGAGAGCCCAGGCCGCCTCCACTGCCACCAGCCCCCAAAGCCTTGGTTGTGCCAGCAGGAAGGAAGAGGGGACCCTTACACACCTGGCCCCCCACCAGAGTTCACTCAGCCTTAAGGAGGGACTCATGAGGAAGCTGCCAAGGCACGCTCTAGAGAGAGCACTGGAAGGGGAGGCGGGCCCTGCTCTGCCAATGCGCTGTGCAACCTTGCATGAATCGGGTGGAGCCTTCTCCTGCCTACCCAGGCCAGCCCCATTCCCTCTGCCTTGCTCTGGGTAAAATGAGAAGACACTTTACCCACCATCTCCACCTCCACCCCTAAAACAGATCAGGGACCAGCTTGAATTTCCCAGAGGCTTCCTGGCAAACCTAATTGCAGTTGGAGAGAACAGATACAATGTGTGCTCGGCCATGTCTGGCTCTCCCCTCACCCCCTCTGTCCCTGAGCCCACCCACTCTAGGCTACCCTCCCCCCAGGGACCTCTGCCTGTGAAGACCCAGACCAGACCCTCCAAATACCCTGGAGAGCTGCAGAGAGGCAGGAACTGGGGTTTTTCTCCCAGTTCTGGTTGTGCCACTTCCTCCCTCCCCTCATTGGGTCTTGGTTGAGCCCAGAACCCCGACTCTCCTCTGGAGAAGGGATTCAGAGGGTTCAGGAGACCATGGAGAATGAGGGAGCCTAGTCTGCCTTCTGGGCTGCAACAGAACAAACTAGGGGGGGGTTCAGTGAGCCCCAAGCTCCCACACTTGTCCAGTCATAAATATCACCCAAGGACTTGTTAAAATATACATGGCCAGGTCCCGCCCCAGACTTGATGACCCGGAGTATACAGGGGAGGGATATGGCAATCTGTTATTCCTATACGGAGGCAAGTATGAGAAACACTGAGTTAGACTCCAGGAGGAACTTCCCACGTAGAGAAGCTGAGCCTGCAGAGAAAGACAGGTCTACTTCTCTGGTGGTTTCTGGGCCCTTGACGGGAGACAGCTAGTTAAACCACAGACTAGTTAAAATTCATTTAACATGGAGCCAGCAGGTGGCATGGTGATTAAAGCTCTGGATTCTCAGGTCAGCAGGTGGCATGGTGGTTAAGGTGCTGGATTCCCATATGGTGGTCTGTGGTTCAAGTCCTGGACCTGGCGGCTTACTTTCTCACTTTCTCTTTCTATAGCTCTCTGTCTGTCTCTGGTCAAATGAAAAATAAACAAATAAATAACAACAAATTGAATTTAAAATAATCCTTAAAAAAAAAAGGTGACTTGCTTTCTCTCTCTCTCTCTCTCTCTCTCTGGTGAAAACTTTTAAACTAGTAATAAAATTAAATAATTCTATTTTTTAAAAAATCATTCATTAGAGAGTGGAAGAGAAGAGAGAAAGACAGACAGATCTGGGGCCTCACTCTGCCCACCCCGATCATCTCCTCCTAGAGTTTTGGCCACTGCGTGAGAGCACTTTTTACTAAGAAGAAAAGCTCACAGATTTAAACATCTGAAGAGCCAGGCTCGAGAATATCTGGGTCCTGATCCTAGGACACCGGGGACCCCTAGGGGCTCAGCCCTGAGTGAGGGATTCTTTCTGGTCTGCCCTAAATCCCTGCTGCTGCAGTTGCTATTTCCATCTGCTCCCTCCGGTTGTGTGCTCAGAGCAGGGAGAACAGGAGGTCATCTCCTCAATGGAGACTCCTTGGGCAGGGGAGGGTGGAGAGGTAGCAGCGTGTGATTCGAAGGAAAGAGGAGAGATAGCGGGGCCTTCGGACCTGAGTTCCAGTCCTCTGCCCTGCGTTCTAGCCCAGGGTCTGCAAGAGCAACCTGGAAGATCACTCCAGGATGCCTGAGCTCCCACGCCACACATAGGCTGAGCCCAGCAGGGTGGGGTGCCTCTGCTTGGTCAGGGCTCTGCCTGAGCCCCAGGAAAGCCTGAAATGTGAAAGTGTAAGTGCCTTCACTTGATGCACAGGCTACAACAACACCAAAGCCAGAATGCTAGTAATCAAGGACCTCTTGGGAGACCCCTAGCCATCCCCCAACTTCCAGCAGTTCCCTCAGATTAGCTCAGTCCTACCTGTCCTGCCATGCCCTCCTGCAGCTGGGAATGGGATGGAGGTTTTGCCAACACCGGGCACTGGGCCGTGGCCTGGGCTTCTGAGGAGTGGGTAGACAAGGGGTAGCATTGAGCTCCACTCGGCAGGGGGCCCAGAGTCCCTGCCTGGGCTGAGGGCCAGCTGAGCCCAGAAAGATCTGAGCCAGGGACCCCTTCTCCTGCTGAGCCCAAGGGGTTGGAGGAGAGCCCTCAGGACAGAGGTATGAAACAATTCCCCAAGTCCTCACTTTGAACCACCCTGTGCCCGGGGACCCCTCCCTGCCTCCTCTGGCTTCTGTGAACTCGTCCGCAGGATGGAGACATCTCCTCCACTCTCCTCACCAGGAGCTGGCAGAAAGGCTGAGCAGCTGAGGTCCAAGAATGGTCACTAGGATGTCGACATTCACTCTCTCCACCACTACATCTGACCAATGGGAAGCCTGAGAAGAGAACTCGGAAAGGCTTCGCCTGAAGTCACGCAGTGAGGAGATGCCTCTAGAACCCTCTGCACCAGATGGGCTGCAGATGCGAAGCGAGACCCCAATTTCTCAGGCCCCTGCCAGACTCTCCCATGAAGATCAAGGGCCCAAATCCTCAACCAGGAGAGTGGGCCCAGAGCAGTGACCCTGTCAACTTCTGGCCCTGCTAGCAAGACCAGTGGGGGGCGGGGAGTTGGCCTCTGGGCATCCCATCCCAAGGAGATGCCTGAAAATGCCAGGCTGGCAGTGGCTAAGGTCCCCTGCAGCCTCTCAGCCTGAGGCAGGCCCCTCTCCGGGCAGGGCCTACTGCTACCCATGCCCTTAGGATGACCTTGGGTACAGCAGTCTTTTTTCAGCACCAGTAGAGATGGGGACCATGAGGATAGTGGGGCCCTGGCTAGACCAGGGCTGACTGCCAACCCAAGCACTTTTCTAGGTCTCAGCTGCTCCTGAGACTACACAGTCCCCTTTCCACTCTCCCCATGGCAGCTGGAGGGAGCTATGGAGTCACAAATCACATGGCACCCTCCCTCTCTCACGCCTCACCCTGTAGAGTAGAATCTGGTCTCCCAAGCATGGCCTAAAAAGCCCCTCCCTGAGCTGCTTACGCTGCCCTCTCCGTCTCCTCCCTCCCCCACCAGCCACACTGGCCTTCTTTCTGCTCCCTGAGCTCATTCCCACCTCAGGGCCTTTGCACCAGCTGTACCCTTGGCTTCCCTAAATCTCCAAATGGTTGCTTCTTTCGCCAGTCAGGGTTCAGCTCCCATGCTGCCTCCTGGCACTGTCGCGCTCCTCTACAGAGCATCGTGGCCCTGAGCGGAGCGGAGCCTCCCTCCTCTGTGTGGTGACTGTTTCCTGTTCATCTCTCTGACTAGGACGTAAATTCTTCAAGGATGGGGACTATGTCACGGTCACACATCTCTCCAGAGCCCAGTGCAATGCCTGGCATGCAGTGCACGCTTTTTAAATATTTGTGGACTGAATGACCTAGGGATGCCCACTTCCGGTAGAGGTTAAGAGAGGCTAGGGAACATGCTCGGGGGGGATAATCTTGCTGCTGAGTTCCAAGCCAGAGACTGTGGCAAGCCCACGGACAGGGCAGAGGGTGGGGGCTGAGCAGGGAGCGCTCCAGGGTCCTGCATGCTCTGTAAGGCACAGGCGAGTGTGTGGGTGCAGGCATCTGTGCGTGTGTCTGTGAGCAAGAATATGATGCCGGCGTTGGTGGGCACATTTGCACATGCATGCACACACATTCAAACACACAGACGGCACAGAGGGAACTGGGCAGACACCCATGAGGCGAGCCGTTGGGTGGTGAGGTGGTGGTGAAGAGCCTCCAGACCTAGGGCCGAGGTTAAGGGCAGCTAGACCTACATCCCTGGGCATCCAAGTTCGAAGCCATTCTGCTTTCAGGGACAGGGAAGGGACTACACAGAGCTTCAGGCTGGGGAGGACAGTGGGGAAGAGGGGCATCCACACTGACCACAGCCCCATGCAGTAGCAGCAGGGGCGGAGTGGGTGTGGGAGGGAATGGGGAGTCCAGGCCCACATGGTGGAAATGGGGGCACAGGAGGCAGAGCTGGGATGGGGGCCACAATGCAGAGCACTAGCCAGGCAGGCGGGGTATATAGAAGGGCTAGGCTCGGAGAAAATTGTCCTGGAGTGTCAGCATGAAGGCAAGGTCCCAGGTAGTGGGACTGGATCCGGACCAGGACTGGGACCCTCGGGTTTTTCCTCCAATGTGCAATGGGAGCTTGGGCAAATGAAACTGCTTTCCGGCCTCATCTCCCTACGTGCATCCCAGACTCCTAACCATATCCAAGTCTTGTACGTCCTTGAGCACCTGACGGTGCTGTGAGCCCGCTCCCAGATACTTTCTCACATAGGTGCACATTTTGCACAGATTTGGGGAGGTTCTCACAGACCCCTAAAGCCCTGGCCATGCCCAGCCTGGACAATCAACCCAAGGAAACTCCACTTCTGATACTAGACATGGGGGGGGGGGCACTACTTGGCAAAGAAAGCTGGAAGCCTTTCATTCTTGGACCTTTCTCTGTCCCCTGGGAACTCAGCCTGGACACACCATCAACCCCACTGCCCTTCCCCAAAATTCTTACTGTACTCACTGGCTCCTTAGCTCACCCAGACATTAGCACATGCACTGGGATCTCCACACACACATACACACATGAGCACACGAGTGCACACACATGGACACTTAAACAATGATAATCCAAATGGCTGGCATATAGAAAGTACTTAGAACAGGGACCAGCAGATGGCATAATGGTTATGTCACTGGGCTCCGTAGTCAACTGCAGTTCAATTCCCAGACCCAGCAGCTTAAAACTCATGCCAGGCACATGGGCATGTGTGCCCAAACTCCCGAGAGGAAAATGGAGGAGAAGGGATTGCAACGTGGCCAACCCCCGCCCCCCGGGGGTGATTTCTCACTTTCGGTCTCTTTGTCTCTCTCTGTCTCTTGGGCGAGTCCATGCACCCTATGGCAAAAAACTCTCTTTAAAAAAAAGTACACAGGGGGCGGGGGTGGTCAGGGGGACCAGCAGGTGGCATGGTGGTTAAGGTGCTGGACACTCCCACATGGCTGACCAGGGTTCAAGTCCTGAATCTGGTGGCTTGCTTTCTCACTTCTCTCTCACACTCTTACCCTCTGTCTCTCTCTGGTCAAATTAAAAAATAAACGAATGAATAAATAAAATAAAATAAATAATTTTTTTTAAGTACAGGTGGTCAGGGGGACCAGCAGGTGGCATGGTGGTTAAGGTGCTGGACACTCCCACATGGCTGACCAGGGTTCAAGTCCTGAATCTGGTGGCTTGCTTTCTCACTTCTCTCTCACACTCTTACCCTCTGTCTCTCTCTGGTCAAATTAAAAAATAAACGAATGAATAAATAAAATAAAATAAATAATTTTTTTTGAGTACAAAAGTAATGGTTATGTCGCTGGACTCCCATTTAGTCGACCGTGGTTCAAGTCCCAGGCCCAGTGGCTTAAACTCACACCAGATGCGCGTGTGTGCGTGCCCAAGATTCCAAGAGGAGAGTGGAAGAGAAGGGATTGTGGTGTGGCCATCTCCCCTGGGGGGTGATTTCTCGCTTTGTCTCTGTCTCTGTCTTTCTGACAAGCGTACACGCCCTATAGCAAAAACCTCTCAAAAAAAAAAAAAAAGTACAATGATTGAATGTAAATGTAATTTTTTTTTAAAGGAAAGTACTCAGAACAAACCCTACCAGCTGTGCCACGCCACCACAAGGCCCAAGCCAGCCCAGGCCTGAGCACTCCAGGGCTCCACAGAAACCTGAGGGGCACTGACAGCATGAGCAGCAGGGGCTTGCCAGAAAGACCCCTCGGTCAGGTCCCAGTCAGCCCTCCATGCCCTCCCTGCTCCCGGCCGCCTCTGCTAGCCCAGGGGCCTGGTGGCCAGGATCTCCCTGTCTCCATGACCTCAGCCATGACAGCTCCAGGAACCCTCCCCAGGCCCAGGCCAACCTGAAATGTGCCTCCTCAACAAACCAACTGCCCAGGACAGAGAGGTGCCCAGGATAACCTGGAGGAGAGGTACACCCAAGAGGCACACCCCCAAGTGACCCCAAACCCTCCTACATCTACTTGGTCTTCCAATTTGGACCATCCTGTGCAGCCACAGTTGCCTCCAGCTCTGCTAGCCATAAGCTGTGCAACCTAGGGAAAGTTGCCCACCTCTCTGAGCCCCAGTGACCCCCTGTACAAAACGGGGATACGAACAACATCACTTCACAAGGCTGCTGTGAGGACTCAAGGAGATGCCATGTTGGGTGTTCAAGAAGGGTGGCACTGCTGCCTTCCCGAACACTCTTGGGCCTGCAGGGGAACAAGCTGGTTGCTCCCATGGGGGAGGGATGTCCAGGAGAGCAGCGCACAGCACGGGCCACTCCGCAGGCACCCATTAGACTTGTGTCTTAGGCAGCTTTCGGAGCAGGTCCTGAGGCAGGGCCTTCAGAAGCCCACACTCGGGGTGGAGGTAGGAGAAAGACCCCTGTGGGGCCAGGAGGGTAGACCAGAGACAGCACCCTCCCTGAGGCAGGTACAGATCCTATAGTCCTGGTCCCAGCCACGCTCCCGCTCAAGGTAAGGCCAACTCCTATCTTTCCATCTCAAGGCACAAGAGCCATGCCAAGCACCGAAGTCTTCTTAAAAAGTGCCCAACCCATTTGCTGGGTTGTCGGGAAAGTCATGGCACATTTCTGCAACAGACAAATACGGCATGACTTTTCAGATGACCTAATAGAGTCTGGCAATTTGGGGTTCTTAACAAGCTCAGCACCGCCTGCTTTCCTTCTTTTGGTTTGACTGCTGGGTCATGGGCTTCTTTCTCCTGGTCAGGCAGGCAGCGGTCCCCAGGGTTGGGTGCACATTTGCATCTTATCCACATGCCCTGCTGTCTGCTGGGACTCTCAGGGGCCCCTGGCCCAGCTCTGCAAAGGTCACTATCTCCCAGCCTGCCTCTCTCCCCACCCTCCAGCCAACTGGCACCCTCATTTGCTTAGCATTTACATACATCCGCATGCCAGTTTGGAGAGCCCTTAAGGCTAATGAAATCCAGAGTCTGCTGGCAAATCCCAAATCACGTGTACTGGCTGGTGACTGCCCCCGATGCCTTCCTCCAGGATGAACCCATGGTTATCTGGGACCACAGAGGACTAGGTTGTCCTGGGTAGAGGAATCCGCGGCCAGCCTGACCACCGCTCTGCCTTCTTCCAGTTGCACTCAGCTGCTTCTGGAGTCCACATCTGTCCCAGGAGCCTGGGAGTCAGGAGCTGAATGGACTGACCAAGGGCGAGTCCTCCCAACTCACCCTGCCTCAGCTCAGCTCCTGGGCCGGGGCAGACCCAAGGAGTCGAGCTGGACCAAGGAGCTCAGCCTCTGAGCGGCACCCCCACCCTGCCCCATCTTCACCAGCCAAGGGATGAACTGAGAGAGTTCTCCTTCACTCTCCATCTTTCTCTCCTAGCTTTCACATACCCGTACTCTCTAGAGCCTCACATTTTCTGTCTACACAGCCTCAGCCCCAGGGACCCCTCCTTCTCTGCCTCCTCCCCATGACCTTCCTCTTCTCCCTCTCCCCAAGCTCTTTATTACATCACTCTGATCACTCCTACCTCCTCTTCCCCCCCCCTCCTGTCCCTGCTTTAGGACTTCAGCTCAGGACCTGACAAAGGTCATGGCCTACTTAGGACAGACAAGAGCATGTGGTATCGAGTTAGTGGACATGAAAGGGGCACTCCACTCTCACCTCCTCCCTCCATGGCCCCGAGGGGAGACCTGGGCACTGCTGAGGCTCACCCCCGATAGGCAGCACATGGAGTAGGAAGGGAAGAGGGGAGTCAAGAACGACACCAACGGGGTCAGGCGGCGGTGCAGCAGTGATGCTGCTGCCCACATGAGAAAAGTCTTCCCTAAGCACAGCAGGTATTCGCCTGCATGCCCGTGACCGGGGCCTGCTGTGACTGGGGGAGGTTGTGGTATGAGGACCCTGTCGAGGGTCTCTCTCTCTCTCTCTCTCAAGAAATGAATAAACTCTGAAGGAAAGATTTAAAATAAGAATGATGCCAACGTTTGGGCCCTGTGCAACTGGAAGGATGGAGTTGCCACTCCTGAGATGGGGAAGACCTGGGACAGACAGTTCTGGAAGGAAGATCAGGAGACAGTTTTGGACAAGTTGAATTTAAGGCATCTAGAAGACATGAAAGTTGAGATGCTGAATGGGCCACTGGGCTCA